GGGGATTCCATTTTGGGGAGTCATTACTCCCGTCTCAGGACGACTGACCGCCATTGTCCGCAAGAGGCGGACGTGAGTTAAAAGTGGGCGCCGCGCGCGGGTGGCAATGACATTGGATTTCAATACCCTCTGGTAAACTAACATAACTATCGAAAATCACAATTTTAAATCAACTATAAATGGCCATTTTCATCCACTTTCAATAGCTATGTTTGTTTATCAGAGGGTATTCTTTTCATCTATGAACAACCAAATAATCCAAGGGAATTTAAAACTGAAAACATGTACGCGTGGTTTGTGATTTCAACCCGTCCCTCATGTTTTTGAATGGGGTAGTACGGATCCAAACATCAAAAACATGGGTGTGAAATGAAACCACCCGACATTGGGACAAAACCTCAAGCCAGCAGAGGTAGGGATTTAACCATCAAACATTGGGATTTCATGATTTTAGCAGCATAATTGTTTGAAATCCCAATTTTAGCAGCATGAAATACCAATGTTTGAAATCCATAGATGTTTGATGTTTGGCATTTCATGTGAAATTTAACAGGCTTCAGAGAAGGATTTAAGGTTTCCTTCACATCCAGCCTGGCTTGAACATTGGTTTGAGTTGAGTTTCCAGGCAACAGCCATCATGACCTCGCTGTGACGTCACTGGAGTGATGGTGAATATAGTATAGGGGAATCATCCCCACCCCAATTTTCAGTTGTTTCCAAGTTGGTGAGTTCCTATAATTCAGCCAGATACATGTGTTTGTTAAAAAATGGGGTATACCGCAACACCGAATACGACACTTAGTGATCTTTATGATGGCCGCCATGTTTTAATGAAGAAAACGTACGTTTGAAGACATGGGAACGGAAAAGGGTAGCCGATTTTTTTGGGGACCAACCCACATGAATGTGTGGTTTTGTTCCCCACATTGACGTGTGGGGTTTTTGTTTTTAGTTCTGTATCCGCTCCTCCTCGTCCTCCTTCCCGTCCTCCCTCCCTCCCTCACTCACTCACTCACTCCCTCACTCACTCACTCACTCACACTCACTCACTCACTCACTCACTCACTCACTCACTCTCACGCACTCACTCACTCACTCACTCACTCACTCACTCACTCACTCACTCACTCACTCACTCACTCACTCACTCACTCACACACAAACAAACACACACACACTCACTCTCTCACTCACTCACTCACACACTCACTCACACTCACTCACTCACTCACTCACTCACTCACACACACAAACACACACACACACTCACTCTCTCACTCACTCACTCACACACACTTTTGCGTGGCAGGCGTGGACAATGTGCACTTCACACGCCTGGCGTCCCTTGGGGCTCCGCCTCTTTTGCGTGGCAGGCGTGGGACAATGTGCACTGCCAAGGGGTCGGATGTACGCCCTGGCGTCCCTTGGTCTCTCGCCTCTTTTGCGTGGCAGGCGTGGGACAATGTGCACCGCCAAGGGGTCGGATGTACGCCCTGGCGTCCCTTGGTCTCCGCCTCGTTTGCGTGGCAGGCGTGGGACAATGTGCGCCGCCAAGGGGTCGGATGTACGCCCTGGCGTCCCTTGGTCTCCGCCTCTTTGCGTGGCAGGCGTGGGACAATCTGCACCGCCAAGGGGTCGGATGTACGCCCTGGCGTCCCTTGGTCTCCGCCTCGTTTGCGTGGCAGGCGTGGGACAATGTGCACTGACAAGGGGTCCGATGTACGCCCTGGCGTCCTTGGTCTCCCCTCGTTGCGTGGCAGAGGCGTGGACCATGTGCACCGCCAATGGGTCGGATGACGCCCTGGCGTCCCTTGGTCTCCGCCTCTTTTGCGTGGCAGGCGTGGGACAATGTGCACCGCCAAGGGGTCGGATGTACGCCCTGGCGTCCCTTGGTCTCCGCCTCTTTTGCGTGGCAGGCGTGGGACAATGTGCACCGCCAAGGGGTCGGATGTACGCCCTCGCGTCCCTTGGTCTCCGCCTCGTTTGCGTGGCAGGCGTGGGACAATGTGCACCGCCAAGGGGTCGGATGTACGCCCTGGCGTCCCTTGGTCTCCGCCTCGTTTGCGTGGCAGGCGTGGGACAATGTGAGCAGCCAACGGGTCGGATGTACGCCCTGGCGTCCCTTGGTCTCCGCCTCGTTTGCGTGGCAGGCGTGGGACAATGTGCACCGCCAAGGGGTCGGTTGTACGCCCTGGCGTCCCTTGGTCTCCGCCTCGTTTGCGTGGCAGGCGTGGGACAATGTGCACCGCGGCGTCCCTTGGTCTCCGCCTCTTTTGCGTGGCAGGCGTGGGACAGAGCACGCCAAGGGGTCGGATGTACGCTCTGGCGTCCCTTGGTCTCCGCCTCGTTTGCGTGGCAGGCGTGGGACAATGTGCACCGCCAAGGGGTCGGATGTACGCCCTGGCGTCCCTCCCTCCCTCCCTCACCCTCTCACTCAGTTCGCTTCACATCATCATCATCATCATCATCATCATCATCATCATGTGCCAGCGATGTTTACCAGCCACAGGGCATGCAGAAAGAATTCACAAAATGTGCGGCTGCGCTCGAAAGAGTGCAGAACATTACTTTGGTCAGCGAAAGTATGGTGAGCACACCATCGTTTTGATAGTGTGTCGGAAGGCTGGAAAGGCGAGGCCGTTTCGAATGTGTGTTAAACATGTATGGTGTTGAATATGTCAGGCACACCAACAGTTTGTTCCTCACATTGACGTGTGGGGTTTTTGCTCCCCACATTGACTTGACTTGGTGTAGGTTATTCAAATCACTTTTAAGTTATGCCATGCAGTTATGATGTTTCCGGTCTGTGCCGGGAACGGAAAAGAGAACGCAGACACTCACTCACTCACACACTCACACACTCACTCACTCACACTCACAACTCACACACACACACTCACTCTCACTCACTCACTCACTCACTCACTCACTCACTCACTCACTCACTCCACTCACTCACTCACTCACTCACTCACTCACTCACTCACGCACACACTCACTCAAACACGCACACACTCACACACTCACTCACTCACTCACTCACTCACTCGCTCACTCACTCACTCACTCACTCCTCGCTCCTCGCTCCCTCGCTCCCTCGCTCCCTCGCTCCCTCGCTCCCTCGCTCCCTCGCTCCCTCGCTCCCTCGCTCCCTCGCTCACCCACTCACTCACTTCACTTCACTTCGCTTCACTTCGCTTCGCTTCACTTCGCTTCACTTCACTTCGCTTCGCTTCACTTCACTTCACTTCACTTCACTCACTTCACTCACTCTCACATCCCTCACTTACACACACCACACTCGCATCACTCACTCACACTCTCACTCACTCACTGTACATGAACATACATACATACACACAAACTCACCCACCATCACCGCTCCATCACTCTTATACTTCCTCTTCCCTTCTTGCTCTTCTATGGTCAGTCTAAGTCTAAAGAAGTTGGTAACATGTGGGGTTATCCGGTCCTTTAATTTTAATCCAAGTAATGTGAACTGGAGGATTGAATCATGGAAGGACCTGACTAGGACTAAGATGGCTTCCTTGCAATTTTCCTCGAATGATTGGAGACATCCCTGCAGTATACTGATTTTTGTCGGCAACCATGTGCTGCATTCTGCTGCTAAAATGGATTATTGATCCGCGTTGACAATACTTCATGATCGCCATAAGATGTTTCTTTAAATGATGTATTTCTGCTGGTCCCAAGCCAATTAGACCCCTTTCATATCACTTCAGAAGGAAACCGCGACCAGTTCCAACCCGATTTTGGGCTCAAGGGCCACAAAGAGCAATGCAGGGCGTCAGTTGGATCCACAGGCATTCTTGCGCTGATTTCTTGATGCAACTCTTACTGGAAAGTCAAACCTGTTTGATATTTCACCACGGCCAGGGTTCGTGTAGTCGATTTTCAAGCAGCTACTGGCGCAAGTGCTGCAAATCCCGAGGGGACGGGCATCTCTACGACCCACTTAATGCTTCTAGGTACACCGTAGCACCTCGACCCGATGACATTTTCATTATTTGCACTTCCATATTTGTTTCACTGGTGTGTTACTTGTAGAATGCAAATGCACACAGACGTGTGTATGATATGCATTATTATATCATTTCTTCACATACATGGATATGGATGTATAGTATTTGCTGTTGGTACATGTATGTATGCAATTTCTAGGTTCATCTAGGTATATAGATAGCACATGTATGTGCATGTAGCTATATCACATGTGATGTGTATATATATATATAATATACTCATATGTGGTGTAGTGGTCATACCAGATTACATCTAAATGATACATGTATCAACTGTGATACCACAAAAGTACACATATATGTAGTTATTGATACCCTCTGGTTATTCACCATGGCTCTGGAAATTTGCCCATTTATGGATGATTTATGCTGATTTTCTTATTAAGGTGGTGATTTTCCAGTTCGCTATCTTATCTAGCCAGAGGGTACATACATGGTCTAGTGTAAATATGATAATATTCTATACTGCCGGTCTTCTGGTGTTATTCTAGATATTTTAGATGCTATTGCATATGATAGTTCCAACGTAAAAGTGTCTATTGTGTAGTATGTGTAGTATGTATACAGCTAGATACATTTTTAGAAACTGAGAAACTATGGGAAACTATTGAACCTCTCATAGTATGTCATACAGATAGAACTTCCCATATTTCAGTAATGTGGGTAAAAAAAAGTCATGTTTACCATCCCCAGTCATCATCATAAATATATAGGTGGTATGTTTACCATTCCCAGTCATGGCTGGTTTATGACATTGTTTTACCCACATCAATGGGGTTTTAATGGGATAACAATTGGATTATATTGGGATATAATTGGAATATAATGAAACTATTTTCGCATATATATATATATACATATATATATATGTATATGTATATATATATATATATATTCCAGGGATTCCAGTATTACCATTTCTTGCACGATGCTTCCCATGTTCCAAGTTTCCTAGTGACCATGGCGCTGTCACTGGACCTCGAAGAGGAGCCGCTCCGCAGGCGCTAGTGGCTGTGACCATGGAATATGTGGATTAAACATCATAATGATTGTGGATTTGGTGACCATTTGTAGTCTAATGTCATATTATAATGTCATTAAATATCTAATGATCTGATATTTCAAATGATGGTCAAGATTAATATCCACATTTGTTGTAGTCTAATGATGTTTCAATTGAGGATTAATCATGGTTTTCAAACGTGGGTTTAACCGTGAAACACAAGGAGAGAGATCGTGGGTTTCAGCAAAGCGAAAACTGGAATTTAGCAAGAAAAAATTGGATTAAACTGTACAAGCGCGGTGCTGAGCATTAATGATTGCGGTTTAATGATCAAACATGAAAATTGGCGGCCTCTTCTATTGAGCAAGAGCTCAATCGCGGGCGGGCTTAGAGGCTTCAATTAGTCCTCTGTGGTTCGAGGATCAAAGTTGCAGATGCAAAGCTACAAAGGAGGTGTAGGTGTTGCCACCTTGATCTGGCGACAGGCTTGTCAATGATTCGGATTTGCTTTAAGGTTATGTAATTAGTTGGGGTCACATGCTTATACCGGGAAATTCCATCCAGGCACATTTGCAAACAGCTTGCTGCTCGTACGTTTTGATCATATATTCTTTACCCGTCTTTTTTGTTGTAAGTATTTTTCATCTTCCTTCTGCTGTATTTTCATATCATTTACAAACTCCAAACAAACCTTGGTACTGTCTGCGCAGCTCGTTTCATTGGGGAAAGATCGCTTTGGTGACACCTTTGGCGGCTTCCTCGACGTCTATGTGGCGCTCGTTGGTGCGGCTCCAGATGCTCCATCACCGTGTTGAGACACTTGACGACCTTGAAAGGCAACACCAGCTTGGTTTCAAACATGAATTGTATTTTCCATTTCAAATATGGGATGTCATCCTTCCCATTGACTTTCACTCCGTCATTTTTCAGAGGGGTTGGTTGAAGCCACCAACCAGATAAGCATATCTAAGCATGATGATCAATAGCTTTTAGCTTAAGCTACGGGGAAGAATTCTTCGATCGCGTTACGGCTTTCGGGCGCCGCCCTGGCTGATCATCCCACTGGGGATCATCCCACAGTGGGACCGTTCACCGGTATCCGCGTTGAGCGGAAAGCATCCGTTGGGTTTGCCTAACAGAAAAGCACCATTTTGGCACCATGAAAGCGTACTCAAACAGATTGAAAATGATTGAACATGATTGAAAATGATTGGCTCATTGGACATTGGGGAAGAGCCATTCCATAAAATCACATCATAATTTGAGTTCTGCGTACTGGGGCTGCATCTTGATTTTTTAGAAAAAATCATGGGGGAGACCTCCACAGCACTGGCTAGGCGACATGCTAACATACCTCCAAGAGCCTACCAATCTCTATTTTACCAACAATCCCAATATCCAAAACCCAATGAAATTGAAACAGTTCATGTCATGCGATCCTTTTTATAGGGACTTCCTGGTGATGGCGCCTACGTGCGCAGCAAATTTTCAGCTGCTTTTCACACACTTACAGCGCGCAGGGCGGGCCTCAAAACTCTTAGGTGATGCCGTGAATGAGATTATTTACCAGCACGAAAAGCATGCATGGCATCATATGGCATCCAAGATTGACCATTCAATGTAAGGGCAATTTTTTTCGGGGAGGGAGTCACTGCATGAGGCTCAATATGGCTCAATTATAGCCAGAAATAGGCATCTATATCAGAATCATCATCAGCCATGAAAAATTGAGGTTGATGGTCATTGCGTGGCTGCCACATTCCGTTTCCACAAATCCAGAAGTCAATGGATTGGTTTAAGGGAAATGTTACAGGAAAGCCCCGTATTTAATGGTAAAATCTATGGTTTCCTGTAAATTTCTCAACAAACCAATCCATTGAAAAAGGCGGTTCCGACGAAAATCGCGTTGCGAACAACGGTGATGCTCATCCCCAAATGGCCGAAAGGTATGGTGCCGCGCAGGGCTACCAGATTGTCCGACTGATTGGTCGCGGCAGTTTCGGGACGCCCGAACGAACGGATGTGGCACTGGATGTCCATGGAGAGCTCAGGGATGTCCCATTGCTGTGTTATTACCGGGTAGTAAAGATGGTGATATAACCAATATTACATGTTGTTTAAGAGAGAAATGGGAGGAAACAGATGGGTTTATATACAGAACCTTCCAATAAGATGGAATTTGGTAAAATCGTACCAAAACAAAGTGGTCAGTTAAACCTTTTCTATGCTCTTGAGTGCTTAGCAATTTCTCAATGGTCAGAAGGCCATATTTCAGCAACAACAAATTTATATAAATATATAACTATATATACATATATATATTTTTTATAGATTAGATTAGATTAGATTAGATAGATAGATAGATAGATTTAAATATATAAGTATTATACATATGGATGTGGAAAAAAAACAGACGTCGGCCATGAACATCGTGATCCATCATCCAGTAAACATGGAACATCCGCCAAAAAGGATTCAGGAAAAGATCAAAATGAAGGCGGACACCTTTTTTCTTATCAATTCATGTATATGTTTTTTGGCTGGTATTTCATTGTTTCTTTCAAAGTTATCTACGGATCGTTTGTTTTTTCAACTCGCTGATGCCATACAAACTGTATAGGCTGCTGATCTATATAGTCTGACAGTGTAAGTTCCCTCGCTCTTACCTGTTCAAAGTATTAACAAAGACCTTGAAGTGCTATGTTTTTTTACAAAAAAGGCAAAACCAATGAAACTTGTGGATGTAACCAACACCACCATGGGATGATTGCGCAGTGGCCAATCATTCTATGAATGCGGGTTGGGGGTTGAAGTTGCCGTTCTCTAACTCCAGGGGCTGGCCCATAGGAGATCAACTAACGGTACTATGAAAGCAAGTGTAAGCTATCATGCCCATGCTGGCATAGATGGAGTGGGCATTGGATTTTCCCAGTTATGAAATTCATTTGTGCATGTATGCATTTATATATAAATAAATAAACACACACACATATATATATATACAGAAATAGACATGTATTTTTGTGTATATATCTATATATACGTATATTACACACACACACACGCATATACTGTATATATATATATATATAATTATGTATACATATATTTGCCAGCATTTGAAATTTGAAAGTGGGAGATTGTTTATGTACAAAGGCGTGTGCTTGTGGACTCTCTCCCAAATCTCCCACTATCTCCTTCAGGCTGTGTAGCTTGATCCCCTGGCGGGGAGTTTTTAAGGCGGATAATGACTGGGATATCCCTCCAGGAAAAAAATATGGAACACCCACATATTCTGGAGATGAGATATCGTTCATGTCTATATCTATGGTGCTTTACCAGAGATTACCGCCCGTTGGTAAAATCTAATCTGGACATGTCCAATTTCTACGATTGGTTTCCTTATGGTCAGCCATTGCAACGTGCAGATTGGCTCGCGCGTATACAGAATTTGCATCTCATGACATATCCCAGTGACCAATTCACGTTAGGGTTTTCAATTTCTAGTTTTTTGAATGTTTTGAACACTGCTCAATTCCAATGATTCATGGAGTATGCCAGCCATTTACATCCGTGCGCCATCCTCAATTCAAAGCGCCATCCGTGAAACTTGAATGATGGCCACCATGCCACTTCAGACAAATGGTTTTTGCATAAAAATTGGAAATGGGACATTTGCGTAGGAAACCGCTTTGAAATATGAAGGTTTGCAAATTTACAACAGTCATTTTTTAAGAGACATGTTAAGACATTTGATTTAGATGGCTTATGCCAAAGCAGAATCAACGCATCTCAGGAAAGCGTTGCTGGTTCGGGACAAGGAGGGGAAGCAACGCGTTTCTCGGCTTCGGAGATCGGGCGATTTCGGGGTCAACCCTGGTGTGGGTTTTTTCTTTTCGAGCAGGTTTTACCTCCGGTTGTCATCAAACATGGCAATTGAACAGCATCAGTGGTATTTGAGTGGGAAAGCAACGTACATAAACATTCCAGCAAGGAATGGTTGGCTCCAGAGCGAGGATGAGTTTTCATATTTTAGTAAAATTGCCCATTACTAATGTATCTGGGTGAAAAAATGCTGCGAACTCACTGGGTGACATTTGAGTGATGAAAAGTGGAAGGGGCCATCATCCTAGAAGCAAGCGCATGCTTCCAGGTTAGTGAATCATTATGATTTACCTATTTGCGTACGTTTATGTTTGCGCAAGTGCAGGAAGACAAGAACAATGAAAACAGACATCAAACTATTGATTAGATATATGCGTAGATAAACCCTGGGATATGTATTTTTAAACCTGAACAGAATCGACATGTAAAGAATATATGAAAGCGCTGCTGAATTCTGACTTGCAACGACCTCGCCACGATGTCAGCGCACTTGAAAGAGAGAGAGAGAGAAGGAGGGAGAAAAACAGTGATGGTTGGGTAAGGGGAATCTAGTATCCCATTACTATCCCATTAATATCTATCATTATCCCTATTAAAGCAGCATATGAAACCATATAACAATGTCGAGAAACAAATAACTAAACAACCCGTATTTGTTTTTTTCCGGTATGTTGATACATAAATTCCATAGATATTTCCAACTATGGAAGATATTAACGATTCACATTTTACCATATGTTGGTTTATTCACATTTTACCATTCACATTTTACCATTATACCCTGGATGGTGGTTTTCAAACATTTGTTATTTTCCATGTTCTATATGGGATGCCATCCTTCCCATTGACGAACTCCATCATTTTTCAAAGATGGGCACATTGCACCACCAACCAGTATTAGAATTGGGGGATGACCATTATTAAACATTATTAACCACTATTAACCATTATTAAACCATTGGATTTTACCATTACCCTCTGGTAAACTAACATAGCTATTGAAAATGGCCATTTATAGTGAGTTTTCCCAGTAAAAATGTTGATTTTCCATAGTTATTTTTCAACCTTTACCAGAGGGTATACCATTGGTGTTTACCATTTTACCTATGGGACCCGTCACGGGATGGTGGGGGCTTGGCAGGTGATGAAGGTGATAGATCTTCAGTGCCTGGACCAATGGCCATGGCGAATGCTGTGATGTGGAATTTCATAGGAAAACCATGAGAAAATGGATGTTTTAATGGGAAAACCAGAGGAAAACCAGAGGAAAACCATAGGAAAATGGAGGTTTACCATCTGGTTTATGGGATTTTAGTGTGATTTAATGGGAAAATGCCCATGAAAATGGAGGTTTTAATAGGAAAATCAACTATCATATGTTTTTTTTGGCATTTACCCTCTGGTAAACGTTGAAAAATAACTATGGAAAGATCCACCATTTTTAATGGGTAAATCCACTATTTCCATGGCCATTTCCAATGGCTATGTAACAAGTTACCAGAGGGTATAATGATTAACCATGGTAATAATGTAATAATATGTTATAATACAACTATGGCAGTTTACAATTATAACATATATCAGTGATTAAAATGCGACGTGGTTCCATGGATTTCATGATACAGAAAGTGTCATGGGGATGATGAAGCATTACAAAATGCGATTTTTTTTATACTGGATTTTCCCCATTGTTGTGGTTAAAATAAGGCATAAACTGGATTTTCTCCATTGTTGTTGATAACTGTGGTTAAAGTGGAATCATGGACAATGTTAATGGATAATGTTAATTCTAATGGGACACAAGTGTTTATAATTATAATGTCAAGTCAAGAATGTTAGTGGAATTATAATTGTACATGAACATTATAACGGAATTTATAATTAACATACCATTATATAATCAATTATAATGGACAAGTGGATTATTATTTTTTGATATCCGTTTATCATTGTTTATTATGCATGTTGAAGCCAAATTCTTGGGGATTCTTAGGGTATTTCAACTGCACACAACCAAACTGTGTTTTTTTTGTTTGTCTCCTCCTTTGGGGTATGAAACTTGATGAACACGGTGATTTGTTGCGAACATGTGGACTTGGACACCGCAAGAAGAAATGAGGGGAGTTAGGTCCACATGCTGACACGAACATGGAAAGAGTTGTTCATCAAAGGGTGCTTTTAGCAAAATCACTGGCCGTTCTCCATTCAGAAAGGGACGTGAGCTGCACCAACTAAAAATTGTAATATTTGGAGGATCAACCTTGGCTGTCTGGATTTTATTCATGTTCAAGAAGATGTTTTTTTCCAAGAGATCAGCACTTCTGCAAAGCATGTTCAAGTCATTCAATGAGGGATATTCCGGCGTATTGACATAGATCTAACATGATCTAACATATTAAACTACATATTGATCCGCAACGTTGGATGATTTGTCACGCTCTGAAATTTCTACATGTGTACAGGTATGGCCCTTTAACAGATATTTTTATGCTTAATATGCTTATAAATGGGGGGGTATCATTCCACAAATATTCATAAATGGAGTTATATAACTGACTTATAACTGGTAAAGGGTTTTAACTCCATTTATGGTTATAAGTTAGAAGTTATGAGTTAGTTATATAACTGTCACCACTGTCAGTATTTAACTTACCAATGGGTGAAATTTGGTAAGTAAATTAAAAGTTACCCTCTGGTAAACTAACATAACTATGGAAAATCACCATTTTCAATGGGAAAATCCAGTATAAATGGCCATTTTCAATAGCTATGTTAAATTACCAGAGGGTATATCCAAATTTCACCAATGTCTTACCGTCATAAGGCAAGCGAGCGAGCGGCGCCGGCAGCAGGCGCCAATGGAGGCGGAGTTGATGCAACGCTTGGCCCATCGCTACGTGGCAACTGGGATAGAGATTTCTGGGCGGCGAAAATTTTACCCTTTGGTAAACTAATGAAGGTTTAATGGGGTTTAATGGGCTTATTATGTTTTTTTATATAGTTTTATAGGGATGTTAACGGAATAATGATGGGAGAATACTGGGATGTTGTTGGATATATACCCTCTGGTAAACCAACAGTATGCTATTGAAAATGGCCATAGAAATAGTTGATTTATCAAGCTATAAAAAAATATTTTCCATAGATATTTTCTATGTATATATATATATATAGAGAGAGAGATAGATGGATGGATAGATGGATAGATAGATGGATAGATGGATAGATGGATGGATGGATGGATGGATGGATGGATGGATGAATGGATGGATGGATGGATGGATGGATAGATGTGTGTGTGTGCTAGTCAGCTTTATGGGGATGTATATTGACAAGTTCCAATTTGTAATTTCACCTTTCTGTTCGAAACAAAAAAATACCTTGTATCCTGGTTGATGGGAGCAGCCCTGGGACATATGGGTGGATCAAAATATTGCGCACCTTTCCCAGCATTGTTCGCAACCAGTTGCTATCGTGGCATCTTGACCTGCAGTTCCCAGAATTGGCGGAAGAAATTCCAGGAATCATCAATGCCCTTTTCAAATCCCTGTGCTGGCTGGTGCTGGCTGGAGAATGATGGAAATCAGTGGTTTTCAGTGATTTGAGGTGCGCTTCCACGAAAGCTTTCGAGAGGACAATGCCTTCGTGATCGTGTCTCGCTTCAAGTTTCGGCTTTCGTAACCTCATTTCAATACTGACCAAAGGAAAATTGGGACGCTTGTAGTTTGAAGAGAGGTGACATGATCGTGATTAGCGGTTGATTATGTCAATCTGTTTGCCAAAAAGATTAATGTTGATATTCAAAGTATCATTGACTCTCATTCATGTTCCCGCCTTTTTGTTGACTGTTACAACCAGCAAAATACAGAATTTTCGTTAATTCTCGCACATCCTACGTAAGTTGGTTAACATTCCCTGGTCAAGACGAATCGCGGTTTGAATGTTGCCAGAGTGGATGAAGGAAACCAATCAAACCATGCCCCCACGAGCATCCACCAGCCAGAAAGGGCGCTATCCATATCACTGATAGAATTCTCACAACAGCTGAGAACACTCACCGCGTTGGGAGCTTGAGTCTGGCTGACTGAATTAATGCGTTGTCTTGAACTGTTTGTATATATATATATATAAGTATATACACATACATATATATATACACATATCAATCTGTGCATGTGTTTCCTTTTTAATTCAGTGTGATTTGATTCACTTTGCTTATGCTGGATCAATCTTCGATGGATACCTCAATACCTTCGTTGTTTCAGGGCCATAAATAGCAATATCTATTAAACGGCTTGTAATGTGTTCATGTAGGCATATTCAATTTTATTTAAACAAATGTGCCCTCTGGTTATTTAACATAGCCGTGGAAAATCACCATTTTTAATAGGTAAACCATCTATAAATGGGCCATCTATACCATGGCTATGTTAAATAGCCAGATGGTATACGTGACCGTGATCTGCTAGTGTGTTCCTTGTTTCTACTCCAAGGATGCGAGAGCCCGTATCTCTCAGGGGGGGCCAAGTGTAAGCCTGTGCACCCACTGCTGGCCTTTTAAATGGTTGGTGCAAAAAACACCATGGGTGTGGGGTAAAAGAGGGCGCACTGCAAAAATGGAAGGCATATGTATATATATATAATAATAATAATATATATATATAATTATAAATAAATATATATATATATATAATTATGAATATAGTTATATATATATATTTCAAGGAAAGGTGGCGCCCCCAAAGTTATAGGCTGGGTTATAACTTTCACTAACTATAGATGTACGTGTCATAAACTATTTATTTATTGCAACTTAAATAGGTCTTGTTTGTTTATCCCCGGGGAATATTTTTTGATGCCTTAGATATGTTTTTTGGATCCTTCGCCCGACTCAGAATATGAAGATGTGGAAGAAGAATGCAAAACCAGGGCCGAAGTGGAGCGGGCCATGTCCCATTTGTGGCCTTTGGCTTCGTGATTGCTCCGCCGCGAGCTTGAACAAACACCAGAAAAATGCCCACATATGCTGCCGGCACAAGGAGTGGCACTTCCATTACAGCCAAACTTTATGATAAATCCACATAAACCCATATAAAACCCATATATTTGTATCATATTAAATAAACCCATATAAACCCATATAAAACCAATATATTTGTATCATAGACCTATATAAACCCTAGTTATTGGAGTTTTGTTCACCAACTGAGCTAACTACTAACTACCAGAACACCATCCTGGATGATTGAAGATTATACGCATAGACTTTACATATGTTGGGCGCATCAGCATCTAAATTAGCTACTTGAAATTTCTGTTCATCAAAAATCAAACGTTTTTTTAAATGTAACAAATACTGATTACTTGATTAGGAGAGGTAATTTACATTAGACAAGCAGATACGCTCTCCTATTCAAACTGGGCAAAGCAATTGACATTGCTTCTTTCACAGGGGATAAGCCCATTGCCATGTTGGATTACTGGTTACTGGAACATATCCTCCAGACATCCGCGTCCATGTCTACATGATTTCCCTGAAGGAATGGGCATTTCCTTTCAGAATTGGAAAATTGATGGGATACTGTGAAGCCGCGGGAAAGCTTCATTTGTTCCTGAAAATTGCTCCAGCCAGCAACAGCTCTACGCTCTAGTAAACTAACATAGCTATGGAAAATCAATAGTTGAATAGGTAAATCACCTATAAATGGTCCATTTTCCATAGCTATATGTTAGTTTACCAGAGGCTATTGATGTTCCACTGCTTCCGCCTTTAGGTGATGGACTTTTTCAGTGGTGGTGACTTGCGACAACAGGCAGGCTTGGAAGTCTTGGAAGTGCCAGTGGGGACTAGTGACTGGAAGATCCAAATGGGATGATGATGCGATTTGATGCGATTTGATGCGATTTGATGCGATTTCAGTTTGTGATTTTCAGAAAGAACATATTTTTTGGTGAAACCAATGCCATAAACAATGTTCGAATCTCGGTTTTGAATACCCGGCAAACGGGAAATCATTGGGTCAATGGGATTTGGTTCATTATAAGTTGGACAAGATTACCAGCCACAAAAAAGGGATGATTGTTTATGTTGCCCTTCCGTGACCAGAGATCCTTCCCTTCCGGTGGGGAGCAGTCTTGTGGTGATCATCCGGCGATATCCACATGATCATGGATTGTTCACCCCTTTCGCCCGACACCCCTATTTGGTTTGCTGAAAGCAGGGTGGTTGGTAGGTACCCGGTTGGCTCTGAGATGGGTTTGGGGGGCGAAACAATGGCGATTTCTTGTGATTGATAATCTTCTTTTGCTTTCTTGATAGAGGTTCCCATATTCCCATGGTGAATTGTGAGTTGAAATGACCAGCAGAGCTTCAGCTGGGTATGACTCGTAGGTTGAAGATGATTGAAGCTAAAATGAGATGGTAGGTGAACCAAGAAAATCACGCGTCAATGAATTTTGTCAATGGGCAAAATGTTGTGGTTTTTGAAATTCTCCAAAATTTTACTCTACCTGAAACTGTCAGAATTTGTTTGTGTGCAGAACTTGTTCATTAAACGTGTCAATCCATGCAGGTATGGACGGTATGGTTGTTTTATTTGCTTACAAAGGTCTCCTGGATTTGATTTGACTAGGGGCTTGCACCTTTTGTTGGCATGCTACATCGTCATAGTGGACCCAGCCGGTCTTTGATCCATTTCAGCCAATTCCAATCGCTTCCGCCACTTAGATTGGTGATGGGCCATCAAAAAAAACGCAATTTCTGGATAGTATGACCATGAACTATCCGAATCATAATCCAATTTACTAATGGTCCATCTTTGTGACAATTTCTGGCAGTGATGCTAAGACCAGCAACCCCCGGGACTGTTCATCGGTTGATGCCGAAAAATCTGGCAAATGTTTCCGGGAGGAATGCACATTTGGTAGCATGATGCTGCCAAAGATAAAGCAATGATTTATTGAATTTATTGTTAATTGTTCTCCGAGTATATCCACATCAGATCTCATAAATGGTTGGTTTAATCGGTTTAATCCTTATGTATAGATATTCTATATCACATGAAATCCCAAGAAAGATTATTGACATATATTGTGGGATAATGAGGTTCTTGAAGCAATCTTGGTCTTTGCTTTTTTGGCCACCCTCCAATGCCAACATGCCAGCCATGCCATGAAAAAATCCACCATGTTTGGCTCAAGCGGTGCGGCATCTCCAGGAGCTTCGTTACTGTGTTAAAAAAAACACCGGTTCAAAGCCAGATGGAGCACCCATGTTGATTTGTAACTTATTACCTATAGATATCCCATAGGATCCATGTGTGGTACATATGCTAACATTGGGGGTATATTGATGGTAAATGTTACCATATATAGCATACATGGATCCTATGGGTATATATACACACATTTGCAGTGGGTACATGTATAACGTGTTTTCCGTATTGCCTGCCAGACTCCTAAGTTGTTTCCCGGAGTTGTTTGTAGAGCGCTAGGAATTTGATTAGTGCTACTATCCATCTTCCATTACATGAGATATGAATTTGATGTAATGGAAGATTATAATGGAAAATTTAAATAGTAGCACCATGGTTAATGGAAGATTTTCATGTTCCATTCATGAAATCTTCCAGAGAAATATTCCATTCCATTTCAGCCACCAGGTCACCCCAGAGACTTTCGCCACTAGAGACTTCGGACGTCACTCCCGTCGCGGTTGATGCGATGGCGCCGCGGCTGCCCGTTTTGCATAGCAGGCATGGAAAATCCTGAATTTTCTACCAGGATTTACATGGTGAAGATGGCATCATATGGCAGCTTTCCCATTCCCGTTGCAGGATTAGTTGCTGGAAAACCCTTCGTGAAAATATGTGACAATCAATAGCAATAGAATTTTCTACACTTAATTCCAATTAGGGGCCCTTCTTATTGATACTTAGCCAAGCTGGTTTCCCTCGAAGGGTGTGATTGGTGGAACCAGGGGCCCAATCCCATCGGAAGCAACAATAAACCCGACAGTCATGTTGGTGAAATAAGCCACTTCAGACCGCAACAATCATCGATCTATCTATCTATCTATCTGTCTATCTATCTGTCTGTCTATCTATCTATCTAACTATCTATCTATTTTTCTATCTATCTATCTATCTATGTATGTATCTATCTATTTGTCTGACTGTCTGTCTATCTCTCTCTCTCTCTCTGTATATATATATATCTATCTATCTATCTCAACTACAAGTCCCCATGTTTGTTGGTTAAATCACCATTTTTGCTTGTATATAATATATATATCTCTCTCTCTCTCTTTCAGATACAGCTATTACGTACATACCATAGTTGAAGCCTTCTCCTTTCGAGAAGCAACACTGAAATGGATGGCACTGTCCATGATAGACTTTAGGAGCTGCGAACGTCTTGAAATATATATATCTCTCTCTCTCTTTGTTTGGTTAAATCCCCGTTCTTGTTGGTTAAAACTCCTATTTTTGTTGGTTGGACACTGAGCCGGACCACGCTCTCCAACTGAAGCCTCACCTGGGAGGCGCTACCGAGAGATCCCCACCGTGACGGCCAATGCTTGGCCAGGCGGCTGGGCACGGGTGGTACGGTTGGTGCCCCAATCGCTGAGGTGGTTGTAGATATATCTACCCCATATGCTCCATGTATGGTATATTTACCTACAAAACTGGGTGATTTTTAGGGCATTTCAGCAACCATGGCTGGTTGGTGGTATGGAACCATGGAATTTTATGACTTTCCATGGGTTGGGAAGAATCATCCCAACTGACTTTCATATTTTTCAGAGGGGTTGAAACCACCAACCAGATAGGGGCTCATAGATATAGACCAAACATCACTGAGGAGCCCCGCCTTGACATGGACCAAAGACGGAAAGCCGAGGTTCCCCAGCGATGTTTGTTTCTTCATTAGCCGCATTAGCTATAGATACCAATTTCTATATATATTTTCTGAAGATGCCTGAAAAACATACAAAATACATCAAAATACCCAGTGGTGATCGGTCCCAACAGAGGATTCGCAATGCCCTAAATCCCATGAAAGTCCTCATCTTCAGCAGCGGGCAGCGCTTGGTATGGCGTAGTTGTGGCTGAACACGTGGCCATGATGGCGGCCGGGGGTTTCGTGATGCTAAACCATGAGATTTTGGAGCAAAAACAAACAATCCTACGACGATGCCAAAGTTTTATCTGGAACAAAGGTGCTTCATGGATTCCTCATGAATACTGAAACTGGGTAATTCTGGGTCACTGCTTCGGTTTTTGTTACACAATAAAATTGGGTATTTGGTGGTAGCCCTTGCTTTCTGCCTGTTGATTTCCACCGCGTTTCTTTATCGCAATCTTACCCAGGCTGATTCACCTCAAGTGACTCTTGCTATAGCTTGGTTTGGTATAGGTTGGCCAAAACAGAAGACGCCAAGCCATCGTGCCTTTCCATTCTCTGTGGATAAACAATGGTTTGGTAGGTTACTCTGCTAATTTCTAGCCATAAGCCCTGGAAATTGGGATGATATATTGTGCGTTACTTGTTGCTGGGTATATCCAAGAATAGTAATGAAAGCCCAAAGCCCAGAACCCAAGCGGCCATAGATCACAAATTTTGCTCGCTAAACTCATGTGATTCAGGCATTGAAGTCTTATCACCATGGGTCAACATCTCTTACTGGTTGGTGGTTTGGAACAGTTTTTATTTTTCCATATATTGGGAATAATCATCCCAACTGACTAATAAATTTTCAAGATAGTTAAAACCACCAACCAGACCATTGTTTTGGAACATCTCTCAGATTCTTGGGCCTGATGGGCCCGCCCTAGGCCCTTCCAACGAGTCTGCCCCACGCCTGGACCTGGTGCCTGGCTGCATGTTTGAAGCATCTGATTGGATGGTTGGGTTTTAACCACTAGCAACTTTCCAAAAATTGTGTGTTTTGTGTACCATTTTTTCTTTGGTTGTTTGTTTCCATATTTTTTTTTGTTGATATTTTTGTTGTTTCCATCAACTATAATTGGGATATGATAGCAAAGCCTGTGTTTTATCTTTTAAATATGCCTTTGCAATCACATTTGTTTATGTGTAATACGGGGGGTCAGCAACAATGGGGATTAGTTCAGTGCCAGGAGATTGCCGGCGCATCTCCTCACACCGACCAGTTTCAAGGAATGGGGATCCGGCGGAACTACCAGAACCGGTTTTTCTATCATGTCTTAATGGTAAAATTAATTACCAACCAACATTAATTGGTGAATATCTATCATGTCTTGTTTGATGTTTGCCCCGGTTTGTTACAAAGTGCGTTCCACAAAAGAAACGTTAACGGGATTTTGTCGTGGCATGCCCCGCAAGAATTCTAAGAACAAGATTTGTGCCTTGACATTCAATGTGTTTGCGCAGGTATATCATTGTAAACATGTATATGAAACTATATTATAAATGCATTATTGATTCACACCCACACCCATGCACACACACTAGACAAAATTGGATCTTTTAAGTGATCCACCAGGAACTGAGTCCTTGAACGTGCAAATTAGTCAGGAAAACAAGAACCCTAGATGAATTAGTCAACCAATAGAAGGTACTCCGAGAAGACAAACAATACCATGACAATAGTCAAAAAAATCGAAAGTCACAAAAGGATATGTAGTCTCCCAGGGTTCTCGGCTTACCCCTTTGCCACGTCAGCGAAATAAAATTCAACGCGGTGGGGTTCTCGGCTTAGCCCCTTGCCATGACAGTAAATCGCATAAAAAGAAGGTACGTCGATGAGCATCCCCATCGATATCACAGGCATCTGATGAGTGTCTTTGTTAGTGCCGGTCTCATCAGTGCCTCCGGCACCCCCTGCATTGATTATATCAACCCTTGTTAGAAGGAGAGAAAAAAAGAAAAAGGATAAGTTTTACATCTATTTAGATGTTACACGCACACACACACACCCGGCCGGAGCCGGGACAACCCTGAAAGGCAACAGGAAGAAAAAAGCGGACACAAACGACGGGCAAAAGGCCAAAACAGCGCAGGGGGGGAAGGGAACAGACGGACCTCCAGAACCAGTCTACACGGCGAGACGGACCTAACCAGCACAGGGCACACACCTAAACCCCACAACACATTACAGAGGGGCACGGGGGAAGAATTAGGGACCGATGGGGGACTAGTTGGTGAAGAGGGTAAAACAACCAGAACAATTAAACTTAAAGGACCCAGTTCAACCTTAGATAATCGTGCGTTGTTCCCAAAAAGGGACCGTAGTCAAATCCAGCCACATGCGCATAAACAGCTGTTCAAGTTCCATCGAATTAGATGCACAATATGTTCAACCTCACCAGATACCAAAGATAATACCTGCAGGCAGAGGACATGCCTGCTGCCTGTTTTGCCATGCTGAAATGCAAAAGGTTGGAGCTGCAGCGACAAAAATAGAGTTTCTGGTAGTTCAGGGTGGCTTCACTGTCGCAGAAGTGCATTTACCAAGGTTCTCAAGGGACAACAGGACCAGCGGGACAACGTAAAAAAGCTGGTAAACGAAAGGCCAACTGTTGCACATTACGTAGATGAATTACCAAATTAAAAGTGTCACTTCCGAAATCAGGTCAGTCAACATTCACCCACAGCGGGGTTGCCTCCAATGGCCCTATGGCACCATGTCGGAGCCACCATAGGAATCACACTATAGACAAAATTGGATCTTTTAAGTGATCCATCAGGAACTGAGTCCTTAAACGTGCAAATTAGTCAGGAAAACAAGAACCCTAGATGAATTAGTCGACCAATAGAAGGTACTCCGAGAAGACAAACAATACCATGACAATAGTCAAAAAAATCGAAAGTCACAAAAGGATATGTAGTCTCCCAGGGTTCTCGGCTTACCCCTTTGCCATGTCAGCGAAATAAAATTCAACGCGGTTGGGGTTCTCGGCTTAGCCCCTTGCCATGACAGTAAATCGCATAAAAAGAAGGTACGTCGATGAGCATCCCCATCGATATCACAGGCATCTGATGAGTGTCTTTGTTAGTGCCGGTCTCATCAGTGCCTCCGGCACCCCCTGCATTGATTATATCAACCCTTGTTAGAAGGAGAGAAAAAAAGAAAAAGGATAATTTTTACATCTATACACACACATAGGTGTATATATATATATTTATTGATATTTATGTTTACATACTGTATAAACATATTATATATATATGTATACGCATTTATCATTTACTGCACATATAAATTGAAATTGATGTGCGCAATGTTTGTTGATCTTCTGCATTATCCATGTGCACAGCCAGGGGCAGACAGGCCACGCCTCAGGAAGATGACTGGGACTCCCCGCGCCGGCTGCGGGGAATCTGGGGTGCGATGGATGTGTGGCTCGGTGCGGTGCTGGGACAGGTGGGACAGGTGGGACAGGCAAAACCGCCACACGCCCAAGGGTGATTAATGATTAAACCATGGTGATTAATACTGGCTAATACTTGTTAATTGGTGATTAATGGTGATTATTGGTGATTAGTGATTAAACCATCATTAATGGTGATTAAACACTGGTTAGTACGGGTTAACATTGGTTAATAATCCCAATTTTCACAACAGTATATCCCATGATTACCCCAATTAATGATAGATATTCACCAATTGATGTTGGTAAAACAATGCCATAAACTTGCCATGACTAGGAATGGTAACCATATCACCTATAAATATTATGATTTGGGTGATGGTTTATTATTGTTTTATCCACATTAGTGACCCTCGAAAAGGTAGAAAAGTAGATTACCGCACTAACAAAGTGATAAATTATATACTGTTTCGATTGTTTTGCGGAAAAATCCATGATAATTAATCTGGATACATGATGTTCCGACGAAACCCAGCAATCTCATGACGTAAATGATGGGAATTGGATTGGGGTAACTATTCCAAATTGGCCATCCAGATGCAACGATGTTAGCGAATCCACATCTGCGTGGATTCAGGACAGCCAAGGCCTACCTTTTTGGGATCCGAAAGAATTGCTTCACCCCAAATGATGCATGGCTTCTGCTTAACGTGCGGGGTAGTGACGGTAATTCATATGTCTAATGGGCTGCCATTTTAAAGTCGCCTTTAACTTCAGTTATAGCGCCATTTGCTATCCAGTTACGATTTTGGGGGGTCCTCCAAGTAGATATTCCGATGATTATCCCAAGGTAATCCTTTATTCAAGGTTAAATCCCTATTTTTCAGAAAGAATGGGACTATCCGATCCCCGTCCATATTAATTACCGCCATGCCATGGTCCAAAAATGTCCCGATCCCTTACATCCACCATGCTGTTTGGGAGATGCGCGATATTGGGAAAACATTATACCCTCTGATAAACGTTTACATAACTATGGAAAATCACCATGTTTACTGGGTAAATCCACTATAAATTGCCATTTTCAATAGCTATTTTGACAAGTTGCCAGAGGGTATCCCCTGAAATCTCGATTGTGTTCCCATTATATCGCCATTATCCCTATGTTTGTTTGTTAACACCCATTTTAGTTGGTTAAATCGCAATGTTTGTTCGT